GAAATGGGGGGGGTATTGGGGGGGTGGGGGGGGGGTTTTTCGGGTTTTTTTTTTGTTTTTTTGCTTCGATTTGAAGACCAGCAGGTAAAGCTTGAAGGCTTTACCTTAAAGGCTTGAAGCAGGTGAGACAGGGGAAAGTGCGGAGTGCTGGCACTGGGGGCCTGAGCCTCGTCTGTAGGCTCCAGAAGCAGGCGGGAAGGACGGTGTCGCGCTGTAGGATGAGCCTCCCTCTTCCCTCAGATCAGGAGGGGAAAAAAATCAGAGGTTTTAGATCTTTTCGGCAGACAGCTAGCAGCAGATACTATAGCCAACTCTCCTCTAAGTCTGTTTTTCTGAGGCTTGCTGCAGCATGCGCATTAACACGCTCAGAAGTTACGTTTCAGATGTGAAGTACGTGTTAACCCAGGACCAAAATGTGTTTTGCCGTTTGTTGTTTTAGTTCACTCGCGCCGTTAATCTGCATGCTTGGGGAATGCAGTGTGGTTCTTTAAAGCACAAGTGTTCCCTAAAACATAGAGATGAATAAAAATTTGATAGTTTTAACACTTTCCATTTTCTTGTGTGACTATTAATCGTAACTGGGAGTTTTCTGAAGTAGAACTATTAATTAGATATCAGAGCCTTACCCATGATGGTAGCAGAGTTAAATTAACTGTGATGGTGATAAAGAGGTTCCTTCATACGATTAAATTGGGTGAGCAGTTCCAAAGGAAATAAATGACTGATGGTGACTCTGTATGTGCCCCTGTTACGGGTGAGCTGACGGCCTTTCCTTCTCTGCATCTGGCTCCTGTCTGAACAGAGGAAAAATGACTAGCAGAACTATAATAGTACAACCGCATTGCTAAATTTTTACCAACAAATCCCTGATGGTACAATATCACGTACTGTGATCTGTCTTTTCTGTATGTCTAAAAACTGAACCACATCATTGGACTTCTATACAGCATGGGGGAAAGGAGACTGTAAGTGTGAAAGCTTGTTGCAATTCCTAAAACTTGAGTACAAAATCTTTTTAAGAATGGGTTTTGGATACTTTTTGTCTGCTCTTTGAGAATGTAAGCAAGAAAAGTCTTGCAGGAATTAAGACAATTTTCTTTGTTAAAACTGTTTCTGTTGCATTTTGAAATGTTGTTAGCTAATATTCCAGTCTGGAATTACAGTAGAATTTTGCTATCATGTCACAGTTGGGGTTTTTTTGTTTGTGGGTTTTTTTTTAAAAAGTAAGCAAGAGTAGATTTGGTTTACAGCAGTCTTATTACGTATTGGAAGAAGAGACAGAATACTTGTTTAGAACTTGTAATTCTAGCTGTCTGTTTGAAGTCTTCATTGAAGTTGATAACCAACTGCTAATGTGAATATGAATATGACACGCACCAAGGATTCTTTTGGTCTCTGCTTCCCTTCAAGCTCTAGAGAGGTATGGTGTGGTGTGTGGGACAGTGGAAGGAAGTGGATACAAAGTAGGTTGGGTGGGCCTGGGCATAGGGGAGCGCTGTGAGGACTGGAAGGCTTTTAGAACTCTCCCACGCTTTTTCATTATGGACTTTTTTTTTCTTTCTCCTATTGCAAAATCTTTCCAAGTAGTAATATTGAGCAATTGCCTAATAATTGTTGTATGGAAACTTGGGTTCTAAATGTATTTGCAGATTAATGTCTCGGTGGCATTATTGAGGTCCAAATATAGAATGTCATCTTAATTTTTTTTTTCTGTCAGGTACATTACTGAGTTAATTGGTTTGCATGTCTTTAAACAATTGATTTTCAGTAGAGTTTAAGTTTTACTGGTGTATTTGCTGGAACTCAGTCATCTTCAACTGCATATTGGGAAGAAAAGGGAAGGAAGAAATTATTTATCTTGCTCTTGCCACTGGACTATAGTTGAATTTATGGTCATAAACAAAGCGTTCAGTGATATGGAAAAAGTCAACCTGTTTCTAGCATAAACTGAAAGTCTTGTCATGAGCGCTTATTGAGAAGTGTTCATAGGCATGTGCAGTTCTGGTGACTAATTTAGGAGCCTAATCTCTGCAGGCTCCTTATTGTTAAAGGGTAAAGAGGTATACTGCGTTGCTGTCTGGAGGAGTCTAATTCAGGTGTGTCCAGACATCACCTTAACATTTCATTCCCCATGGACTATATGGAGCCTTTGGAGAGAAGCTTCTGAACAGCAATTTTTAATATTAAGCAGGGTGTTTTTACCTACTCGTTTTTGCAGTGGATAGGGAATAATTCAGGCCGAGGTCTCTGGTAGCATATTTTAAAGCTTTGTGTAGCCATCTCCCCTGGAGCAGCTTGTGTCCCTGAGAACCTGTTCTTTCAAGTATTGTGCTTGTGAAAAGGTGGGAATTGGATCCACTTCTCATTAGTGTTTAAAGCATCTGTTTACACTTCCTCATGAGCAAACCAGTTGCCAATTAACCTGAGGGAAATACTAGCTGAAGCTCATGTTGTTTCTTTATCCTTATTATTTTAAGGCAGGATCAACATAATGGGGATTGTACTCAGCACCTTTGCCGTGGTTGAGGATGTTACATATGTGCAGCTTTCCATTGCAAGTATCACATGATGCATTACAGTATCATGAATGGTTGCCTGTATTTTTATGAAAAACAGACTTCTTTAGAAAATAATACCACAGGTAAACTGTTGAAAAAGTTTGGCATTTTTTTATTGATGCCCCTTTTCTTTATGGTTATCATCAAACACCAACCATCTCAAGTTTTTTGGATAGAGGTTATCTTTAGTAAGTCTCAAAGAAAAAAGGAACAAGTTCCATCAGCACAGACAGCCTTCAGTCTGACTGCTTACTTTATTGCCACCAAGTGATCTGGGGCAACTCCTAGGTCCACTGTTTGGTGAGTAGGGTTAGTTGCCTGAACCAGAACTCTACATCCAGCATAAAGAGGTTCTCCCCACACACCTTTGTCTAAACTTAGTGTCTTCCTATTGATTTGTCATATAACCTTTTTCTATTAGCTTTAGCGAATCAAATGCATGGTGACTTCAGTTTTGGCTGTAGATTAGTAAATAAGTGTCTTGTCTTAGAAATACTCTAAATGTGTCATTAGACACTGTCACATATAGATGAATTTTCAGCAGTGAGAGCAAAAGAAATGAACTGGGTTGCGGTCCTGGCATTGTGAGCAGTTTTCCTCACAGCTCTTGACTGGACTGCTACAAACCATGCTTTCCAATTTCTATGTCTGTAAAGTGTAAGTAAAATCTGGGAGCCACTTTATTTTTTATTTATTTTAGTTTAACTAAATGCTACAACCGTATTATGCATCTTTTATTTGCCCTTTGAAGTTGAACCTGCTCTTTTCAATGAGGTGAGAGACTGGTGAGATGGCAGCTGAAGGGATACGCTTATCTGACATGTCCATATGGAGTTATGTCAGATGCCAGTGTTGAACGACCCACCCTAACAAGTATATCTTCCTTCCACACTGGGTTTATAAACACTTTTCATTGGTGTCCCTGGCCTCTGTCATGCTGTGAAGCTTAAGACTGTCAGTTCAACTGCTTTTTAGGCACTTCATGCTATGAAAGTTAAGGGGGACAAGATCCAGTTGATTCATACGGAGGTATGTTTAAGGAAAAAAAACTTTCAAAATAATATTAAGGAAACATGAAACTTGCAAAGTGCTCAACTTCTAATAGACCCTTTGTTTCCTCATACAGGTCTGTTACTTGAAAGTGTTACCTATTAGTTATATGAATCACTCCTACTGAGGGCTGCAGAGTGAATTAGTTGTGTACTGTTGTAAGTCAGTGCTTCCTTGTTATTTAATGCCCCTGTATAAGAAGCATAAGTCTGCTGAGGGGGAGCTCATTACAGAGCTGGCTCATACAACTTTGAGCAAGAGTGTTCTGTGAGTAGTTCTAATGAGCTTGAGCTGCTTGATGAGTGAGTTGGCAAAATCTAACCATAGTAATTTGAACTGGGCAGGTAGAGACACTGCTCTAGATCCTGCCAAAGCCCAGTTTGATTGCAACTAATTTGTCATCCCCAGTGATGCATGGAGGTATGTGATTGGTGACTACTGCTGATGAAACATGACAGATCAATTCCAATCTCTTACTGGTGAAGACAGTTATTCATGGGGACATGCATCTGTCTCTTACTATTTTATTCACAGTAAGAGTGCTGTAAAGCAGTAGCAAGTCTGCTGTTTTGAGTATCAAACACCGAATGCTAGTATATCTAGATTTGTCAGGTGCTCTTTGCTAAACTCATTTAAAAACTACATATAAAAAAATACTGTGCATTAGAAATACAGGGCACAGACTTGTCCCTTTTTGAAAATCTACTGTATCAAGTTTAGTCTTTTCTGACTCCTGAGAGATCTATTTTCCCCTTGGATTTGCCACTTGCTTTGCAGGGGTATAGTCTTTTTGACAGCACTTTGCATAAGGGCAAGGGATGTAAGACAACTTGTAATCAGCCAGTTCTATTTCTTTGATGCTCCTCAGCAGTGTTTTAACCTTAAAATTCTCCACAAAAGTTTGTATTGTATTGCACAGTACAAAATGCTATGGTCCAGTTCAGACATAGCTTTGTGGGTTTTTTCCTTGTACCACAAGAATTAGCTGTGAAAACAGGACTCTGAATATTAGAATAAGTCTCTTGATTTCATGGCTGAGTATTGTGCATAGATGTCCTTCAGCACTGTAGGTTTTTTGTGACCCTTTAATGCAGAAAAAGTAATGTTAAGTGGAACAAAGCGTAATAAAACGCTTGCAGATTTGTCTCTGATCCACAAAAGGGGTACTCTGAGCTGCACTACTGATAATTTATCATGTGGGTGTTTGACAAGCCCACACATACCTTCATATACAACTCTGCAGATACAGTCCTCAGTATTCTGTAACACCCTGGTAATATTTTATTCATAAATCCTAATCCTGAAGTCCTTAAGGTATCATAAATATGGTGCTAATGCCTGTGAATTTGAGGGGGTTTGGTTAGTCGGATTAATACCATGCTCTAAATAAACTGTGGTCCTAACATACAACAGAATAAACATTAATATACACGAAGTATCATAGGATTAAAATTCCTGTTAGTGTATATTAGTCCTTATCTTTGCAAAGAATAATTTTCCAGAGTTTCCTCTTTAAAACCTTTTCTCTACAAAACTGGAAAAGAATAAATTAATCTATTAATAAAATGCAGTGAGGAGCAGGGGGAAATAACATCTTGTTTTAACTTGAATTATTTATAAAGGTTTGTGTCTTAAAGTTTGCAGGGCTGGCAATATGACTTCATTTAAGAGGAGGGCAGGGTTCTGCTTGTCTTGTTGAATGAGGGACAAATCCTTGTCCCGCTCTGGGCAATGTACTAAGAAGATAGGGAAAAAATCAAGTAGTCAAACCAAGTGGATGATGTAGTATAAGCTTGTTAGTCTACCCAAAAGGCATGTTGACCAAGACGAGCCTCATCTTTGCCTTTAAAGCAGCAGTGTGGGAACTTGGCCGCTTCTTTGAGAAGCGATTAAAATGATGGAATGGTACTTACTTCAACAGAGCTGCACAGATATGACTGAGATATGGGGTAGGGGACAAGTGGTGTAAATGACAGCTGGTGTCATCTAAGATACTGCATATCTCTGATGTTGGAGATCAGACTCTACAGGCACTTAGGTTGCTTCACTGGCCTGTCAGCCCTGTTTGGCTCTTGCAGTGTAGTTTTTGTGGTGGTCATGTTGCAGTTGACAGCTTTGCCCCAACTTTGTTCAGTATACTGTATGTACAAATATGAAGATCAAGCCTCAGTGCTAATCATGAATTCATCCCAAAGCCTATCACCTCCAAAACGCTGAACTCCATACCCTGTAGCGCTTTCTAGCCAAAAGTGTTTTCTTTTGAATTTTCTGAAGCAGTTACTGAATGCTTTGCTCACTGCAGAGCTTAAGCATGAGCTTGGCTTTAATGGGGAGTGCTCAGGTGTTTAAAGTTGGTTTATTATAATTTGCCATTTAAAGACTTCAGCCTGATTGTTTAGCTTTTTCTGTCTCGTTTTCCTTCTTTCTGCTAAACACCAGCTGCAGGAGGTAGAAGGGAGGTCTTTATCCCCTGCGGCTTTTTGGAGAAAGTGACAGTTCTGCAGTTCTCTCTGTTCTGCATTTCTTTGCACCAGAAATGACCCTGCTGCTCTCTGTCACCAGTGTTTCCTTTTATCCCTCTCCTGGCAGCTGTTCTTGCTCCATTTTGATGTTGGAACAGCAAATGAACTCCCTCTGAAGCAAATGTCATGCCAGTAAAGATGTTGAAGCAGCAAGAAAATCATCTCTGTCTCTGAAGACTGAATTGGAGACCTTTGTGAATGAGATGTTCTTAAAATAGCTCCACAGCATGTTATCTTCCCTAGAAGGTGGAGAATTGAAAACACCACCACAAGCCACTTGCTTTTGTGTGAGCAGGATCCCTAAATAATGTTCTTTGGAGTGGGGAGAGAAGCAGGTTGTTCACTTTTCCTCCAAATTTGTAGATTTAATCAGGATAGAGAATACTGTTGCTGTGGTGGTATTTTTGGAAACATCTTTCAGAGACCTGACTTCCTGCTCTGGTTGTCCCACAGTTAGCTTTTTGTTGTGTCGTTGTTGCTGGCAGTGACAAACTGAAAAAAGCAGTTGTTTTGTTGTTCTTTG